CGTGCCAGGTGCAGGGTCTGCTGGTTGGGTGCTGGCAGGCTTGCACCTGGCACGGGCACCGTAGCCAGCCCGTGCCCCTTTAAGGGCTCCGGGGCCAGGAGGGGGGCATACGAGTTTCCCTGGTGGTGCCCAGAGTGGCCACCAGGGCAAGATGGGGAGGGCTAGCCTCCCACTAGTTCAAATTAAGGGGCTACACAGCCCTTAATTTGAACTAGTAAGTTCGAACTAGGCTTAGTCCTCGTGCAATGAGGTTTACCTAGTTCAAACTAAACGCCTATGAAAGTTAATTCGAACTAACATCCGTTAGTTCGAATTAAATTTGTAGTGTAGACATACCCAAAGTTAGTAGGTACATCACTACTTAGAAAAACCCAAAATAACCGGTTGAGAACAGACCAAATAACTGGGTAGGAAGGAAATAATCCATGCGATAGACAATCACAAAAGATCCATGGTAAAGAATTGTAGCATATGACAGCAATGTAAGCGACTAGTCGACTAGCTGATGAGTATAAACTTATCAGCTAGTTGACTAGTGATGTGACTAGTTGCTTCCCCTCTCCCTTTCTGCCTCTACCAGAGAGAGGCAGCAGGGGACATGGGAGAGATGAAGAAGAAGGAGCCAGTGCTGGAGAGAGCTGACTTAAAAGCTGGTTCCCCCCAGCACTGTCTCTGCAGGGGGGCAGGGGAGATAGAAGCACAGCGGGAAAACGGCGCGAGCGGGGACTGAAGCGTTCTCTGCTTGCGCCACTTCTGCTGTGATTCTGCTTTTGAAGTGTACAAGAGCCCGCTGGGAGCAGAAGCATTTCAAAAGCAGAAGCCCTGCAGAGAGCATTTAAAATAGGAGCATTTTAAAAGCAGAAGCCACGCGGGCCATTGCGTGACTGTACATTTCAAAGGCTCAAGCACCACAGGGAGCTCAGAGCCAGTTACCTTCTTGCCCCACACTCCCTGAGGGGCTTCCGGTTTTGAACTGTAGCAAGAGCCCAGCAGGACTCTTGCTACAGTTCGAAGGCAGAGGTGTCCTTATAGACCAATCGAATAGTCGATGGAAATCCCATCAACTATTTGATTAGTTAATCAATCTAAATTTAACATCCCTAGCACAGGATAATAAATTGAGATCAAGGATATACTGACCTATTGGAAAAAGACACTTCACCATTAGTAAGATGAGAAAATACAAATAAGGAAAAAAAGGAAACTTCCCCAACTGAATATGCATCAAACATACCAATGTCAGCGTAACGTATGATAAAAGTGACTTCCCAGCCTAGGGGTGGTTGGAGAAAGAGATGTAGTCCTTGGGAGGTGCTAGAATGATGGCTGCTGGTGATGATGGGGAAAGCGAAGGTGATGAGGAAGATAATGGCTAACACCTTGGGTTGTTCTAGAAGGAATGGTGTGAGTATATGGTGTGGAAGTGGAGCTGTACATTACCTATTTATCTTATGAAATTGGGGTGTTTGTGACTGTGCTAAATTAATGAATTATCTATATTTGCAAATATACAAGAGTTCCTATGGCATGAATGTTGCATCTGTGCACATCAGGGTTCCCGACCATTTGAACATTTGGCCTGATCCTGGGAAAAAGGACCTGTCAATCCTAAAGGTGGTAACCAGAAATTTATAAGCAATCTTAGATCAGGCAACAACCTTGATTACCTTTTGTGCCCTGTATTCCTTTCCCCTCTTCGGCTACGTCTAGACTGTAAGCCTCTTTCAAAAGAGTATCGAAAAAGAGCGTCTAAACTACAACCCCCCAAAAAAGTCGCTTTTTCAAAAGAGAGCACCCAGGCAGTCTGGATGTTCTCTTTCAAAAAAGCACAGTTTGCATTACATAGCGCCTTTTTACAAAAGAGCACTTTCGGAAAAAAAAGATGTTATTCCTCGTAAAACGAGGTTTTCCATGGTCAAAAAAACTGCTGCATTCTTTCCATTTACTTTCAAAAGAACACGGCAGCAGTCTGGACACGGGAATTTTTTTTTTTTTAAAAAAAGGCTTGTAGTCTAGACATACCCTTCTATTCCTCAATTGCTTCACTGTCAAATATCCAGGTTTCTACACCCTTTTTAATTCCCCCTTTCCTGAAGAAATTGTCTCTTCCACTGACCTCACTGAGACCTGTTTTCCTGTCCACTTTGGCCTGCCTCTCCAGCGTGTTAAACAATACGGCTTTAACACAGTTTCAGAAATGGGTCATTCTTTCCTTCCAACTTGCAATAGTACATTTATTGTGTAAAGCATGCTCATTTATTTAAAATGCAGCTAATTTCCATAGTGTAAATGGGCCCAATGTTTTCAGACATAGCTACATGACCTACTGTGGGCAGAACCAGAGTGGGCATTGTAGACGGAGCTTGATCCTGCCTTGAGGGCGGGGGGCTGGAGTCGATGACCTCTCGAGGTCCCTTCCAGTCCTATGATTCTATGATTCTATGTGCAAGAGCTTGGTCTCACTATTACTGTAGCCATTTTTCAACTTGAAAAGGACCTTGACATTCTGAGTTTTTAAAAATCACGCCAGTTGGCTTTGTTTTGCAGCAATTCTCTGTGCCTGAAGATGCCAGGCTATAGCTTCTTTCACTATGCTGGTTTGTTCCACAGGTTCTGTTTGACATGATGGTGAAACCTCAAAGGGAAGTAGTCTCCAGCAAGGTTTTGTGATAGCAAAACCCACATTCCACAAGTTACATGTGCAAACCGCGTTACAGTCGTGATGGCTACAAGAATGGTGGAAAACATTGCTTCTAACCCTTATTATCTGATCTATGTTACTTAGCAGTGAAGATAAGACTGTTGTAGTTTTAACTTGCGTTAGCTGGTTTAAGTAAACTCGTAGGCAGTGCTACCATGTATCTTCACTAGAATGTAAAGTAGGCTAGTTTAACACATTTAAAATATGCCTTTCTTCTTCTAGTGGAAGCACAGCTCCAACATTCATTGACATGGCTAAACAATTACTGTGAAAGCCCTCGGCTAAGTTTAAAGAAAGTGTTATGGCATAATCAGTTGATGGGGAACCTAAAGCTCAGGGACCAGATGTTGCCCCCATCTTGCCTGGATCTAGCCTCAGAGGCTTAGGGCTTTCCCTCAGCACTGCGGTGCGTGTGCTGGTGCTCCAT